GGATAACAAGTTGTGGTGACAATTAGGGGTGTAAACGAGTCGAACACGAGCGAGCTCAGGCTCAGCTCGTGTTCAGTTCGGTTAAAAATATTACATATATGGTGTCGTGATCGGTTGTTGCAGGCAGTGGCTGATGGTGGCGATTATTGTACAAAGGCAGTCAATAGTGGAGGATGGCAAAAACGATCACTACGCTACTCGGGTTACCAAACGATCATAGTTTGTCATGTACTCAAAAGTGCATCAAAATAAATCAAGTTTGTAATATATCAAAAATGGACTATGAGATGAGTTTGAAAATTTGCTTCACATTCCATTTGTAGACCAAAAAAAAATTTCATTAAAAATATCGAATAAAAAAAATCTATGGCATTTATATAGACCCGTTGAAAAATCGAATGGTGATAAAAGAGATTTTTTTTAAAAAAAATTTTGCCCCCACTAATAAAAAGCTTTGGGCCTTTTACCCAAAGAAGTTCGAAAGAAAACCTCTTAAAACTCGACTTTTTGGGCCCAAAAACTACACTTAGCCCACTTAGCCCATTGCGCAATAGGCTTATAAAGCTAAGGGTAAAATATTCAAACATTTTCAACCTTGAAGCCCACATGGAGCTCCATATAATAGAGTAGGTAGCTATGCTATTCTATTTATCAAACAATAATGCTTCCATTTATTCCTATGGGGGACTAAAAAGTGCAAAAAAAATTTTGACTTTTGGCTTGAAAGCTTCTCATTAAAGTTTAGAGACATTTACATACATATCTCCCAATTCTTATGTATTTAGATATCTAGCATTTAAGATTTAATTTTTTTACATTTATACGTACTAAATCTTTTACATCACATCAAACATACCGTCCTCAAACTTTCGCATAAGGTGATACATGCTAGAAAATTCGCGACGATAGAGTAATGGATTTTAGTCTTAGCGTTGGCGTTGCACGAGAATTCAATAAACACTCATGTGAAAGAAAACAATTAGTAATGACACCAAAAGTTTTTACGTGAAAAACCCCGTAAAAGGAAAAAACCACGAGGTCTGACTCATTTGTAAAAATCCACTATAGGTTGATAATTGCAGAAACCCCTTGCCTTAGAGACGGGAAATGGTTGCTAGATTTTCCAAGTTATAATGTTGATTGATGTCGTCTGGTTGTTGATGATCGATAATGTTTGGTGCTGATTAACGGTGGGTAGTGGTGGTCAAAGATGATCGGCAGTGGTTAACAACAATAGCAGTGCTAGACGGTGGTTGGTGGTTGTCGATGGCAAATGGGGTTGGTAAACGGAGTTTGACAATGGTCGACGGTAGTTAACAGTGATCCCATGTAATTTGTTTACTTACCTTGAATCTAGAAAGATTGGGATAATAAACACTTCAGAAACACAAATATCATCAAAACCAAGTTGATGAACATTGAAGCTCGTAAGCTAATATTCTCTCTCATTTTATTGATGTGAAACCAATCATGAAAGTATCACATAAATAAGGAGTACACTAATCATTCATTATTATTTTATGCGACAAAAATATTATAAATTATATTAATGATGTGTAAATAAAAATTTGGTTTCTCATACTAATGCAATTAGTGACATTATATATATATA